ATCTCCAACACAGCTTCACACAGAGCCGCTCGTGCCTTTCCAGTTTACTGCTCTCGACTGAGCAGTGGACTAGCACAGTGGTCGAGGATGGTATGGTCGGTGCCATCTACGTGGACTTCAAGAACGCGTTCGACGGCGTCCCACACCAGCGCCTAATCTACAAACTGTCTGAAATTGGAATAATAGGAAAGCTGTTGACATGAACCGTTGTTTTTCTTGCAGGGAGGTCACAAACCGTGTGTGTTGACGCTTCGAAGTCAACTCCTACACTCTTTCTAAGTAGTGTTCCTCAGGGCTCAGTCTTAGGGCCGTTGATATTCCTAGTTTACATTAATTACTGCATTGATGACCTGGGATGCAACGCCGTCATGCTTGTTGATGATTTTAAGCTGTGGAGAGCCATCAGATCTGACGGAGACAGGTATTCGCTGCATGAGAGTCTCGACCATCAGAGCAGTTGATCACCTCGTTGACTTCTCAATTTCAGTGTGGACAAATGTGTGGTCCTGAGACTCCGCCCCAGAAGAACCAGTTAGGTAGATGGTTCTTCTCATTACCTCCTTGACGGTCAGCCTTTACCAGATGTTGAGGAACAGAAAAACTTCGGCGTCCTAATAACCTGCTCCTTCAAACCATCGTCATGGTTTCAAAGGGCAGCCAAACGCACGATACGGGTGTTATTTGCGATGAGGCGAGGATTTGTGGAGATCGATAAGGAGCTGTTCGGAAAAACCTACGGGGATTTCGTTCAGTCTCACTTTGATTATGCAGTCCAGGCCCGGCGACCGTGGTTCAAGAAGGATTATTAACAGTTGGAAAAAGTACAAGCGATGGCTATGCAGATATATAAGAATTTTGATCATCTGTCCTACGGAGCCAGACTGATTGAATGGAATTTGTACTTTATTAACAGTAACTGATCGGCAAACTCCTTCAATCCTACCGGCTTGTCAGAGGCCGTTAGCGTGCCCTAGACTTTGGCGAATTCTTCGAATCGACATTCACGGGCCGTCTGCACGATCATCATTTTAAACTGCAGATAAAGATGGCTCGCATGGATGTCCAACGGAGCGCCTTCTCGCGGGGGTCATTGGAGCATGGAACGGACTCCCCGAAATTGCTGGGTAATTTAAATGCAGACGCGACGCCCATTATCTGAGAAACTGCTGTCGATTGGACGAATGGTCCTGCAGATGGCTCTTGTCCTTTAATTTGAACAAATGTACCATACTGCGCCTCGGAAATCAGACACCTAGTACGCGGAAATACCATCTGAACGGAATACCACTTCGAGATGCACAAACGCAGATGGATCTCGGAGTCTGGGTTGCGGACAGTCTAAAGCCTTCTAAACAATGTCATAAGGAGGCCAAGGCCGCAACTTCAATGCTATATTCCATCAAGCGGGCATTCGCAGTTTTTGATGAAGACTGCTTCTCCAAAGTCTTCGGCACGTTTGTAAGGCCGCACCTCGAATATGCAATTCAGGCCTGGAGACCATGGACGCATCAGGATTACAATCTGCACGAAAGGGTGCAGAGGCGAGCCACAAAATTATGTAGTAAGAGGTCAAAGTGCACTGCCGTACGAGATCCGCTTAACTTACCTTAATCTCTATCCTCTGAGTAATTGGCAGTTGCGCGGAGACTTGATACAAACTTTCCGTATCGTGCGTGGCTTGGACTGCGTCCTTCGGTGTGATGACTTTTTCCAACTCGCCACAACAACTAACCTCCGGGGACATCCCTTCAAGCTGCGTGTGCCCCAGGGTAGACTGAATGCCAGGAATTATTTATTCTCCAACCGTGTCGTGGAACCGTGGAATAACCTGCCCGAGACGGTTGTCATGTCTCAATCGGTGGAGACATTTAAATGTCGGCCTGACAGACATATGCAGCAGCAACAAGCGGACTATGATACTTTTTAGCCATGAGACCAGTGACATATGTGAATCAATGTCTTCATTCAAGTAATACCGTGATTTCTTCACATTTTTAATTATTTATAGATTTTTTATGTGCAAATAGGGAGTTCAAAGGCGTAAGCCTGTTTCCTTTAAATACACTGACTGACTGACATATACTCACGGTTGCGTTGGTAGCCGGTTTGCGCCTGGCTCACGCTTACATAATGTCAAACTTTTGAATTTCCGCACTCACTGATGTAACAACTAATTATATTGCTTTTTTGATATGAATAGGGAGCTCAGGAGTGAAAGCCACATTCCCTTAAACCCATCCAGACCCATTTGCATAAGAAGGGACTTTATCCACGATGCAGCTCCATGGGACACAGGAGCCTAAACGGACCTCGGGGTGCTGATGACGAACTCCCTAAAACTGCCCGCTCATTGCACGCTGTATGTCAAGATTGAATGCACAGGCACGCCATTATCGGATTTCTTATGGATTCAGATAAGTTAAAATAAACTGTGTTATCCGGGGGCCGTGCGTATCCGTAAGTCAAAATATTCTTGGAAGAGTTCAAAAAATGGTTAATTCTGAACCCGCCTAACAAGCCTAGATCACTTTACTTAAAATTATAAATCGGTACGAGGTGATCACGTATGGGCATTTCCCGCCATGAAGCGGTTAAATCGCAGCCTGTTCCATGCTAACTTCTTTTATTTTATTTTATCACCACGACCAGGCTCCAAGATTACCCATTAAAACGGAGCGTTTTGCCGGCAAGTCTGGATGGGTGGAATCTCACTACTTCTGCCAGCGCTAACAAATCATAAAATTTCTCATTCATGCGTTATGATGTCACAGTCTACAGAAAACTTTAAAACGAATCTTGGCAGACTTGTGTTCCAATACAGGTCGAAGTGAGGAGAGACTGAAATCAACCTTTAAGAAACGGATAAATATACTTCACTTTTATGGCCAGCTTTGACCTAGTGCTCCCAAAATATGTTGTCTGCACGCTGCACTTAGTATTGAGCTACGAATTGGGTTCCGAAAATCTTGCGCATTTTCCCTTAAAAAACTGGATAGAACTGGCAGATTCGACTATATATCTTGCTCACCGTCATGTCGTTATTGATAAATTATGGCAAGGTCGCACTTCTATTGCCTGTACCGAATAAGAAATAAGCAAAGCATCTAAATTCAAACGTGTTACTCCTACGTTATTGGGAGGTCAATTTGGCAAACACGTGTTTTCGGCAATTCTACGTCAGGCCAATACAGTTACATGGAGGATTGAAAATATACAAAATTAACAGTGTCTATAGGTAACATTAACACTCCTCTTCCCAAGCCGCCCACACGACGAGATCGGCGGGTTTTGGTCTTCAGGTATAGGGGAGGGGAGTAAGGGAGTCCATGAATGATGTTCTCAGATTGAGTACACGGAGTACTCATCGCTGTAATTATGGATTTGAGGCGGTATTTCGTCATCACTTGAGGTTGGCTTTGGCCACGGTAGAGAGTGCGCTTTCTGACATTAAAGAACTGGATTTCCTAGCCATATAACCACTGTCTCGGCAGTTGTTAGCACCCGTTGACGTAGGCATTTCGAGAAGCTTATTGGTGTCCGGTAGACAATCTGGAATGCTTCATTGGCATCGACTCGGTGATTCGTATCGACCAAATATGCGAGAATGTAAATCGAAATCGATCGGGTCTCACCCTCTGTCTAGCCGGGCGGGCACATGTTCATGCACCCCCTTCACCAGGCGTCTCGTTGAAAGGCCGAGTGAATGAATAGATGCACATTGATGTGGCCTTCAACGATAGTCTGTCTTTAATTCCCACACGTAGAATGGAAGAAGTCTGTGACGTATACGCATAAATTCGCCGCGGGAAATGGTATCATGATAGCTGTTGTTAAGCGTTGTCTGACTAGTTCGCTCGATGCGTACCCTGTAAAAGGCATTCTTATGAATACAGCTTTCTTTTCTGCAGTCGCAACAGCCGGCTTTGCAGTGCGTTCTCCAATATTCCGGACGACGGCTAATAAGCCAGAAATGGCCATTCCAATTCCCCTGGTCTTTGCCGTAATAATATTCTGCTTATCTGGGTATCCGTTCTCACAAAGTTTGTTGCTCAGTTGTTGGAGCCCTGTTTCAATAGCTTCAGGTGAGCAGATGCGCATCACTCTGGTCGTCTATCCCTGCTAATTTCGTATTTTTTCATTCCCCATGTAATTCTATCGGCCTCACGAAGAGTTACCGGAAAGATGTGTTTGCAAACTTGACTTTTCACGTGAAACATTGGAAAAAATTATTGGAATGTTTGATGCATAGGTGCAAGGATGAATAAGTCCTGCAAGTCAAAATGCGAACATCAAAGCGGTCAGCACCCGGACCTTTCTCAAACTTAAGATAGCCGGGAATCTGGAGGTTTTCGAAAAACCCAAAACCACAACTGGAAAGCTGTAAGCTGAAGGAAACTTTACTTAACGGAAAAATACATGCGGCACGCACTGGTGATTAGTCAACTGGTTGCTACTAATTGTCCGAAATAAGTAAATCAAACGTAATCTATCATATTTTAAAGTAAAATTTGGACGGACGTTCATGTGAGCGTGATAGTATGCTATTTTCGAAATTCTTGTCCTGTTTTTTGATCGATCTCTTGTTTGAAAAAGTTTTAGTTTTGTTGAAATGTAAAAAATATGATCCATGCTGTTTTCTCGGGAGTTTTTTGTGCCATTTCATCTTAGCAGTACCATTGTGGTACACTTATGGTAACCGGTATTTGCATGACTTCAGTTTCTGCGAGTTAAATTCATCTTCCCATCCAAGCTGTTCCCATAGTTCGTGGTCAAGACTATTCGTATTTTGCTTGAATCCCAGTGCTTACGAGCATTTTCGCATAAACCATAGCATCCGAGTATTAGAAAGCGTCTGCTTTGACATTTGATTTGCATGTAGTTAAGGGAAAGATGATAGGCGTAACGACAAGCATTGAATATCCTCTTCCTTGATAGAAAACTGAAATCTTGTTTGGCTGCACCACGGCGCACAATTTGAGCGGGCACTTTCTACCTATAGCATGCAGAGGTTGACGCTAAGGCGCCGGCTTTCGTATAACACAAATTCCAACCGGAGGCAGAAGTACGTTTTTAAAACATCTTAATGGCCTGGATTAATTAATTGCCGTGTATAAAACTCAAATTGTTTTATCAAGGGTGAAAACTCCGGGCGGGAAGGTCGTCTACATCTACCTAAAGAAACGCGGCACCCTCCCAAAATGCGGAGACTGTAAGCGGAAGTTGGATGGCATTAAGCCATCCCGTCCTATGGACAGAAGCCGCATGTCGAAGCGCATGAAGACGGTGAACCGAACTTATGGTGGGAGCCGGTGCCACGCATGCGTCCGAAACAGGTTTCTGAATTTTTTGTCTTTACGCCTGTAGAATCCTCCGTTCGTTTCTCTCTGAAGAACAAAAGGTTCTGAAACAGATCCTGCGAGAGAAGAGGAAGGAGCGCATAAGGGCGGCAATTGAGAAACGAAAGCAGCAGAGGAAGGAGGCAGCCAGGTCGGCTGCAAAGCCCTCAGCAAAGGCCAAGTAAAAATGTAAAAATATAAGCGCGGAATGCAAAGCACGTGGACTCCGTTTTTCTTTTAAATTAGAAGAATGGATAGGTGGCTCTTCTGAACATATAGTGGTTTGCATTTGGCACACTTTCGCGGGTGCCTGCCTTGCGGCGTCCACTTATCATCAGTATTCTCGCGCACAGGTCCCGGATTCCTTTTTTAAGGTCTTACACCACATTTGTCGGTCTTATGGTTTCATTTTGGGACTTATCTGTTGACGAGAAGTTGTCCCAACTTAAGTCAACTCGACATCAGTTCTGCGTTGTGACCTAGTTTATTCAGAATGCAGAGTTCCGCCGTGCATCTCGTCCTGCCTTCCGCTTTGCCGGTGGTGTTTCTCGCTATCGGACGTCCCCATTTTGGAATTCCCACAGAGGATAGAATATCTTTTGGTGCCCATTTGCTTTGTCTCTGCTGACCACTAGAGAACGGCGTGACTGACGTAAAGATGGAGTCTGCGTATTAACCGAGATGCCGACTAGCCGACGCGCCCATGAGTGACCAGCAGCGAAACGACCGTCGGTTAGTTATCGATGTGGTGGGCAGGTTTGCATCTGACGGGCCGGTGGCAACGGCAAGAGAAGCATCGTCTCATGGCTCTGATCTCTGGCTAAAGTGCCGACGGACAGCGCGGAAGCTGCTTGCATCGTTTTGCACTTTGCACCGTAGACTTCGTAGTACGATCGTGATGACAGAAATGCAATCTGGAACGCACTTCAAATAACTGATATCTGGTGGCATCGTTTTCGGAGGTAGACCGGTCATTTCATCAGCTCAACGGTCGAGAGGGGGGGGGAGAGCCGAGCAATGCTAATTATGCCGAGGTAGGACAGAAAGCACAACTGGTCAGGATTAAGCCTACCAGCTGGTCATGGGTTCGGTCACCTCAACGAAGGCCCATGCTTAGATGTCAGCACTGAGGGCCAGAAGGACCTCCGGTAGGAATATGCAAGTGTTATTGGACAGTAAAAACTGACCGGCAAGGATAGTCATTGGCCGGACCATACCTATAAGAAGGTATGACGCGGTGGCGCCAGTGTCGCAATCATTAGCCGCCTCTGCTCGCTTCGTGAAGCGGGAGGCTGCTCCGACCGTGGCGGCGCGTCTGTTATCATTTCGTGTCTAGTTACTCCCCAAGATGGTCGGCTTGGTGGCGACGATTACGCGGTGACAGATGAGGAAGCTCCCGGGTTCTTGCACAGCTTCCATTACCTTGCGTCGACCATCCGACTAGACTGAAAGTCTGGGGTTGATTTCGGACATAAGGCTAAGTTGGCACGTGTTGTCTTTGTCGTGCTTCGTCGATAATCCGTAGCCGGCATGGAATTACTCTGTCAGCCTGGTCGTGAACTTGTTTTCTCTTCGAGAAGATCCCGTACAACTAGGGAACGCGCGCCGCGCGCTCGCTTTGCGCTAGGATTTCGCTGGACAGTTGTACGCGCATGTCATCCTGACTTGTGCAATGAGTGGCACTTTTAACGGATGAGCCGGTATTCGGACAAAACCTACCTCGTAGACTGCCTGAACTCGTCGATCAAGATGGGTCGGCTAATTACGATGATCGGCTTTGAGTTCCGTGTCTAGTGCGGTCTTCCGCGCCGCCATGATCAGACATGCGGGCCTCGCTGGGGCGCATTTATTCCTGCAATCGGTGCAGATTTATGCACTTTTCCAAGTTCGTTGCTTGCTCGAATTCAAAGACGGGGTCCGGCTGTCGCACGGTCTTTGAAATAATGGGCTAACAGAGCAACAGATTACAACTACGCGACGGACCGCAAGAACAACCGGTAGTAAGCGTTGGGAGATGGAGCCAAGTTTCTGACCGCGTAGTGCGTCCGCAGTCGAGTTCGCCAGATTAGCGGTGGTGGGCCGCTTGCGTCAGTGTTACCCCGGCGCCGGGGTCGAGGTCTGGTGCGCCGACAGCACTGGGATCCTGCACGGTCCAGTAACCAAGATGTAGGCTCTCCGACCTGCTGACTACATGTCCATCCAAAATCGGACTTGGGGACTGTGAAGCCTCACTTGCGTATTCCATGACCCCCGTGACTGCGTGCTTTGTGAGCGTGTGTCTCGGCCCATCGGGCAGTGTTGAGTTGTGTTGGTTACGGTAAGGTGGGCGTTGGCTATCTTATAGGTACTCGTTGGACCGGGACTCAATAGGAGGGCACGGACGCTGAGGGATGTTAACGATACTATATGTGACCTGAGGTTTCCCTCAGCATGGCCTTGCTGTAGGTTATGACGGTCAAGAGCCGAGGACCTAGCACTATTCGTGTCTTCGTTGTACTGCCGTCGACTTCATAATTGCAATCAAGTCGCCCGGTGATAGGCAGTTACATACACCGGGAGAATTAAAGTTCCACAGCGAGACAAAACAACGCATCTGCAGGATGAGATCCTGAGGGGCTGCTACTAAAACTTCGGTGGGCATGGTGTTTTAGCCCCGTTTTTGACCAACGTAGTGTCAATGCCTCCACCGGAATGGCTGGTCTGATCGACGGCCTTCTAACCGACAACGGGATTGGAGGTCATAATCATAGATTGCAGGAATGGTGTCATTGCGCTGTTAATGAAATATGGACGAGAGATCATAGAAGGTATTGCGGTCTCACTTTTGGCGTTGTCATGGAAGCCCACACAGTCGCTCTCCTCACTCCGCTCACGCCGGAGGATAATAACCTGACTGTCTTCGCGTACGGTAACCCTAGGCAAGAATTATTTGAAAGACGAGACGTCTACTGACTTGCAACTAAACGCTTGCCATAATGCTGACAGTGCAGTCCGCCTGGTTTATAGGCAGGGGACGAGCGTAGAGCATGGAGTCACAGCCTCCACGATCGGGCAATTTTACAAGCGAACTAAGTCGGGAAGTGCAAGGTAGACGATCATGACGTCAGGAAACGGTTGGGAAAGCACAGTTACACTTCTGAGCCATAGTGGAACCACCAGGCCGCCCAACAGGCAAATTACTGGTGGCTAAGGGAAAGAGGGCCAGTTAGCGCCAGCACGACTGCGCCCATTCTGCGCTGAGGCGGGCATTGACCAGAACAGCCACGATACTACCGCGCCCATGACGTCAACGCAAGGATTGGTCCGTCCTAGTCAGTCTGAACACTGCACAAAGAGGCTATCCTCACCGACCAACGACTATTTCTATATCGAAAGTAGGGCGTAGACCGGGGGACCCAAGACGTTAGGCAGCAAGCTCCTCTGACTTCGGCGATTTAGAATGACACCTCCCTAAAGAAAAGCGTGTCCAGTCAGTTTGCGCGAGTCCGCTGGGTCGCAGAGTTGGTGTGCGCCACAACGTAATTCCTAAGACGGATGCTGTCAACGAGATAGGCTGTCCGGGCAAAGCTCGTTCCGTAATGGATTTAAAGCAGCGCCTATGGGGGACATGTAAATTGGGGCGTCCTGGTCGGCTGTTGCCAGTGGGGAAGAGGTCGACGGTGCCAATGCATCCAATTGTTTAGACAATTTTGCAAGTTTCCACCGGCTTTGTTGGTTTTGTAGAACCAGATGTGACACGGAGTATCTTCTCGAAATGATTATTAGTCTGAATCTCGGACTCGACAAATGAATTTGAATAGAGTTTAGCGTCCCACATGGTCGCTTGACGAGGCCAACATAAGGTATTGTGCAGTTAGGGCAGCCCGTGCTATACGAAATATTTCTAGTGCCGATGCACCGAAGTAGGCAACAATGTGGTAATGGTTTGCACCCCTTTTCTGCTACTGTCTCTGATGATGGATTCAAGTGAGAATCCGAAACGTCAGGCGAATAAAGACCTTGTTCCAGCGATCGCTTCTTCTTCTTATCAACTGGTTCCTGGAACTCGCATCTTCGCTTGTATCGGTAATGGTTTACAAGGTTTAAATTCGAAGATGCCGCAAACAGTGAGCGATTCTAGCGTACTACAGCCTAATATCCTGAGGCAGCTGCTGAAGGCCGATCCAGATTTGCCGGAAGGAATGAGGTTCCACATACCATGTGAAGTCACCTTCATTGGGTGGAAGAAAGAAGCTTGCATAATGGTTAACCCCAGGACTCGATCTATTATCAGGCGGATAAGACCAGGAATGACTCTCGCTACTAGTTCAAAAAATTACCATTTTCGCACGAATTTATACAGACGCGAGGGGTGGATTTCACGTGGTAATAATGTCAGCGGCCTAGCCTTACAAGGGCAAGCATCTCTAGCCTATTGCAAAATCGGACTTCCGCCTGACGTCTATGGTCGCAGTTTGGTGTCGACCCGAGGGATTAACTCACTACAGCCTCTTCAGACCTGTTTTTGACTTCAAGGAAGACGCGAAGTCACGGCAAGCATGACTACGTCGAGGAATCCTGTCAAACAGAATGAAACATGCGCGCAAAAGCCAAACATGCCAAAACGGCATGCTGATGCTAAGTCAGACCGTGGTGCTTCATGCTAGGATTTTCTGGCATAATTTGAGGACATGACGCCTCAAACACACGAAGTCCGGTTCTGTCCACCTTAGAAACCAGTACGTGGAGCATACGCGACACAGAGGGGGGACACCTGGTTAGTTGTTGCGTCGGGTCTTGTGTCGGCGCGTCTTAACTCAGTTTTGCCACTGGAACGTGGGCGGAAGGAGCAGACTACGACCGACGCTACGAGGGCCTCCCCTCGAAAGTTAGTGCGCTGTATGGCGCTGCATTCGCAAAATGGGGTATGTGCTATCGCTCCCCGTTGTTTGACTCCTATTACGAAGAGTGGGAGAACCTGTCCCCTAATTTCCACTAATATTGGTGATACTGTATTTGAAGCGACGTTTTGCCACTCGCCATACACTTAGGTAATTGCACTTGCGACATGAACAGTGTTCTCTAAGGCATCGCTCGCAACCCTCAAGTACCCTAAAGTAAGACAACCGCTAGAGGCTTTCACGGATATTCGCGAGTGCCCTTCTAAGTAGCCATCCCCCAAAACACCCATGCGATTCGGCTTAAA